GGTAGCGATTTCTAATTAGTTCAAGACTACGTCAGTAAAGCCTTCAAGGCCATCGAGAGACAATGAATAAGATTTTGGAACCCTGGCGCACACAGTTGATCAACTCGGACCTTTAAAAAAAATTCGCGGCACTCACGATTAGCAGCTTAGAATGCCATTGGAAACGCTGGTTACAGAGACGGACGTATTTAATAAGGGGACGATTCGAGCTTGAACGCCGACGACGGGCTTCTCTATATCCGCGGCTAGAAAGGGTCAGCTTTGCTATGGCGATAGGTAATATTGCTGCTTCAATGCAAGGCGTGGGAAAACTATGCGCGGGCCTTCTTCCAAGGGAGAGAGACTCAGTCGGCATTCTGAAACGATTGCGATATTGACATTGTTCCGTGTGTGTTGTATCGAGACGGACGACAAGTTTACCACGTCGGCCTCGAGCGTATGGCACTGGGTACCCTATGGGCAGACCTTATTTATGACTTCGCTATATACATCACGTAATTAGCATATAGTCGGTAGGTACCATCTAGCTAGAGTGTGTCGGCCGCACGAGCGATAAACACGAGGTCATTTCGTGAGTGGAATGCTGTTTGGCAACTAAGTAGCTATGCCACTGCCTGTACAATATACGGTGGCGATGGGTTTCCTCGCGCGGTTAATCAAGATAATAAGTCTGCTTCTCAAGCCCGATGGAATAGAGGGAAAGGCTCTCCCTACTTACTATCCCACTACAGCCTCAAATAACAGGCACGAGTCCTCGCGTTCATTTGGACCAGCCGAGAGGCTATATCTTTTGACAAATCGGGCAGGGTGGACGATTGTATGTGAACCCTCAGTTGACGGCGCGCCCAAACCGAGCCAGATACTTCTAATTCGGCTGTTTTGATGCCCTGGTTTGATTCTTGACGTGTTATTGGAGTTATGTTGTAGGCTTGGAATGCGGAAAGGGAAGCCATGGAACGCTACGACGTGAGTGAATGTGATTCCCAAGGGCAACCTTGACACCTCGATTTTGTTGTTCGTTCAAGCTGTCTGCCTGAGAGTGGTGATGACTCAGAGATATTCCTAACGTGATCTCTATAGGAATCCATGATGTGTTTCTAAGCTTAGGTCATGACCTTTAATGGTTGACATTACAACATTTACTTTAGCACTTTAGGGAACAATAGGCCCTTAGATCCAGGCTGGACTGTAGTAATCGTGTGCTGAGTTCATTCGTTCCCCTATGGGAAATAGATATGACCAACTCCAACTACAGTGTTATGTCTGGCATAAGCCTTGAGCCCGTCGGTTCCATCCGGCGTTCTCGACTACTCCTCTCTTTTACTTCCTCGCTCTCGAGGAAAAGCACATCCCGTCCGTCCGTCCGTGACTCTCTCGGGTAAGGATTATTTCCATACGCATTGTGAGAGGTATTATACAAGAAAAAACGCCGGTGCCAACCCAGATTGATTCCGTCATTCTCCAATCCAGCTCAATCCAATTCAACGCGAGATCGCTCGCTCGCTTGCCCATGGCCTTCCGGAACCCCTACGCTTTGAAAATCCCAGATGAAATAGCAAAGGGGGAAACAAAAATTGGAAACGCTTTTTCGATATGTATAAGTGGTATATAGCGAGTAATAGATTTGTTGCTGTTGAAATCGCTGCTTGGATAGAGGCCTCGTGTCGTCCGTAATCATGATATCCGTCTATTCATGTGGCGCCGTGCACGTGTTATTCGATTATTGAAAAAGGTTCAAAGGTGCGGTATGCACGTAATCAACCAGATTAGGTGGGTAGTAGTATCCTTCGTCTTCAATGCTTTGGAACGGTAGATAGGAGACAAAGGCAGCGGGTGAGCAGGTACGTAGGTAGATGATTAGGTCGAAATCCCTGCTCAACGCTTACTGGCGTTTGAAAGCAGAGCTCACTCGCTCAAGGAGCGTGCTACCCGCGCTGCTGGTGCTGGCGGCGTCGCTGTTCTTGCGCTTGGGGCTAGGCGCGGCGGCATCAAAGATGTTGCCCGCGCCGCCCCGGCCGACATAACCGACGCGCTTCTGCTCGACTTGGCTCTTGAGCTTGAATTCCTCATCGAACGACATCAAGGGTCGCTTCTCTGAGACATGAGCGTTACCCGCACCCCCGCGGCCAGAGTAGAAGTTGGAAGTCGAAGGTGGCAGAACCTTGGACTCTGTCGGGACACCGCTGGCGGGTGTAGTCACCGGTGCGCGGAAATGGTTGCCGGCGCCGCCACGGCCAGAGTGTGTATAGGTATTCTGCCCGACCGTCGGGTGAGGCTCGGCGACGGTGAAGCGACCCATTGTGATCTGGAAATGGACGAAAATGGACGATAATGGCGACGTGCTGAATTCAACAGTGACTCAGATTCTTGGTGCGGTATAGTCCTATGGTGTGGATGTTGGACGAGCTGCTTGGTGGGTTTTAACCTCTCGGGATGATGTTTCTTGTATTACTGCTTTCGACTTTGCTGAAGAGCAAACCTAAATCCCAGGCTGGAGGGAGGGGTTTAATATATGCTTACTGTTATATCGTGAACCTTGATGGCAAGGGGCAAACCTTCTTTTTTTTCCAAGGTTATGACACCTTTAAACAAAGATCCTAGGCTCAGAACGGGATCTAGTCCAGGGCCAGCCATGTCACAAGATGCAAGTTACATGCTACGGGGGACCTCGCAACGTGGTAAAATTTTTCCACGGCACCTGAGACGTGACTCTTTGGTGGCTCGAGGTTGGATGAAAGGGACCAAAAAAATTGCGATGGCACCATGCACTACTGCCTCGCTCGTTTCCGCCGGTGTTGGCGAGAGAAAAAAAACCTGCGAAAACCCGGTGGGCTTGGCAATCGACGTAATGGCGCTTAGCAGTTAACGGCAGTCAAGTGGAATCTGGGGTAACCGCGTGATGTAAAGGCTAGCGAAAAATTAGCAAACAAAGAGTTGTTGTTACGAAATCGCTTCATGCCTTGGTCAGAAGACCGAGGCGGAAGTTTTTTCATAGAATAACTATTACCCCATAGTTTTGCCCCTGGCCGGGTCCTGGCTTACTCGGCAAGCTAAAGTACTCCTAAGGGGGGAAGGCCGAGCCGCCGCCTCGGAAGAAGACTTGGAGCGCGGAACACGTCTACAAAGTACGCAGTGTGTGTAGCACGGGTAACAGCAGGACTAACAGCACCGTCCAGCTCTGTACTAGCGATGGATAGTGGCCAATAGGGCTGTGTGATCAGCCGGTGTGGTACATCCGGAGCTACGCGATTGGTTGGATGGTGCAAGAAATGATGAGATCTACGCAACAACACCTGTAAGGTACGACGATGCGTCGATGCGTCGATGCGCAAGTTGAGGTCTTTCGTCCTTCGTACCTAGGTATTAGATAATACTTCTCAGCGGGGTCGACGGGTGACAAGACGCGACGTCTGTACAAGCAGAGGCGATTCCTAGATACCCATATACCCGTACACATAGCCTACAGGCAACTAGATGACTTGGAAGGTATCAGCTTCTAGACGGCTTCGTCTTACCATAGGCAATTCGTGACGGTACGTAACAGTACGTGCCTTGACTCCAGCAGTCGTGTACGGTAGCTAAAATAGGCACCAGGTTATTTGCCGTCTGTCAATCACATCATTCGTCGTGCGGTGGGCGAAGGTGATGGGATGGTTGATGGCAGAGCTGAGAAACATGGCGACAACCGAAGAAATCATTGTAATTGGCCAAGCATGACTAAACACCATTGCAAAGGAATGTTCGTCAGAATGCTCGCGGATGGCACACGTCAGCTGCTGTCATGCGCCTAATTTCTGAAAGCGGTAGTAGTATTGCGGTGTGCATGTGTACTCTTGAGAGAGCGGTTATTCTCTGATGAATACCGAATCAATATCTTCTCATCTTGTGACTCGAAGATTTTCCAGTTGCGCCAGACAGGAGGAGAAAGAGAGAGAGACAGAAGAGAGAGATTTGCGGCGCAACCGTCTCTAGCCGCCGTCAGCTTTGCCCGCTGACTGTGGCTTGATAGCTTAGTGGCTTGGATTCTTGTTTCTTCGGTAGGTCGCTCCGATGTCGCATAGGCCACCTGCAGTCAGCTGTTATTACGTCAGTCATACCTATCATGCCACCTTATTTTTTCATGCGCAATCTTCGCACCGACGTGGAGGTAGATCAACTGATTGACGAGGCACGAGCCCATTAGAGATGTAAAGTGAATTATTGTTAAATTTAGCTGATTACTTATGCGATCTAGGGAAACCAGGTAGGTTCTCGCAACTAAAGATATTTTTGCTTCATAACACCTAAACTCACACGTACTCATAAGAGCCCCCAACTGTAATTCGTCGAGCCTCATCCGGAGACGAGAAATTGAATGCGATAATTACTAGTTGAGAATTACCTGGGAACGTGGTGTTAGTTGAATAGCTCAGATTAGTAGTGATATTGCGAGATAAAGGAAAAGATAAAAGCAAACGCTAACAACCTACATCCATTAAGTAAAAAGAAATGATGAATAGTCATAGATTTTGAATCGCCTGACTAAGAAATCCATCCTGTATCGTACTTGTTCAATTCCGCTACTCAGAGGGAGGGAAAACATGAAGTTTCAGTAATGCGAGCAAGTTCTAAACATGTCCGATTGCCCTCTTTGACAAGAGGCCATGGGGAGGGGATGAAAGGCCTGAGGCAGGTCTTAACACCCCTCGACTGGATATACAACTTGCCTGGGACGGCCATTGTTTATACTACTACAATACAACCATAGCCTTACTTTTACAAATTTTGCTAGATAATTAGTGATGTCTCAACAGTCCATTCTAAATTATATCGGCTACTGAAGTAGCCGAGTTCTCACGTGTCTCGCATCGCCGTTAAACCAGTAATTGGATTAGCGGCGTCAAAAGTGTGGGAAAGAAAATATCTGATCAGAGAAGGGCGAATAAACAAAGAAGCGGCAAAGATGAGAGAGAAAAAGAAACTAAGTAGGAAACTAAAGAATAAGATAAAAATAGGAACATTGGCCAACGAGGGAATCGAACCCCCGCGGCCTAGCGATACTGAGTAAAGATATTGAGTAATGATATTGAGTTAATCGCTTGCGGTGAGAGCAGCCGCATCGCTAGGCCATACCAACTCGGCCAACAGATCAGAGATATATCTTGGTATATATGCTTTGCTTCCAGAGCTACCTCCAATCCTTGCGGCCGGCGGCTCTGTCCCTTGATGCTAAAGTTGGTTCCTGCAGTAGCTGTTCTTATGTCGAACCTTATCTACACCCAAAACCATTACATTTCCCCTATACATTTAGTAAGAGAGCCGTGCTAGCATGTGCTATAACATATAGCCAATGCGGAGACCGCGAGTTCACAGTTCCTTGGGACCAGGAAGTAGGAATGCTCAACGAACTGATATATATATATATATTCCTTTTCTGTCAGTGATCTATACACAGTGGTATACCCAGTCAGCCTGCTCTTGGGACCCCCTAAGGGTATATACGTAATTGCAAGATACAGGAGGCTTCGTCGCTGAAGTAATCCGATACCTTTCTGAAGTCGGCTAGAGGTAAGTATAAACAAGCCCTCATAGAGCCGGGTCGTATGCGCGAGATCCTATGCTTCTAGGTAGCCAGGTAGATAACGTCACGAGAACAAGTCCGACATTTCCGCTGCCATATATGAGTCGGTGAGTTGTGTCGGTGCCTTTCCCCGTGGCGTAACCGGGAATATGCATGGCCGCACGGGCGTCGCGCTGATCCGATGCCCGACAGGAGGCTCGAGCTGCAGGGGAAGAAGGGCCGCATAAACTATAAACTATTGGATGCTAGACAGTACACTTTCGCGAAGCGGGCTTGCCCTGGACATGGATGGACTGCAGCATCAGCGAGGATGGTCCCTTTGCACTTGTGTGAATTGCTTGATAGTTGACGTCCCCTACAGCGCTATGAGAAATGGGACGAGCGCGAATGGCGGCGACTAACCTCGCAGCATTTCGTCTGTTAGCCGTTCTATCTTTTCCCTTCGCGATTTGCCAGCCGTCTTTCGATCGACAGTATGAGTCGATCGTCATTCCGCCCAATCAAGCAGCGACGTTACCACATATAGGTACCTATGAATGATCGTGGTGCGCGGGGTGATAATGCTCATTCTTAATACTTTTCAAGTAGATAGATGATCAAGACTCAGCGTGTCACGAAGGAGATACCACCATGTTCTTCGAAAGATGAAATAGAAGATAAAGACTTATATAGCGTATGTATAATGTACCTGCCGTCCATACCGTATTATATCGTCGCCGCAAACCAACGATCGAACCCGCGATTCGACATCATATATAACTTTTTTTTATTTTCTTTTCTTTGTAACGTGTAAGGAGAGTGCCAAGCATGCAAGTTATGTATATGTGCTCCCTGTTTTCTTCCTCAAGTGCATTTACGTCCACCCAGTAAGCAGCGTTTTCGTCTCGTGTGCCCCGGCTCAAGAACAACTCACAACTTCCCCCGTCTATTTGGTGACGCCCATGCAAGCGAAGTACTCCTTGAAGGCGCCGACCTCGACGGCCATGACACCCTCGCGGTCGAGGAGGGACGCGGGGCGCCAGTACTCGGGCTCGACGCGGGTGAGGATGCCGGGGTAGCTGGTGAGTCCGTGGGGCTCGGTGACGCCCCAGGGGTTACGGATGATGATGTACTGCTTCTCGCCCTGGCCGACGGACGACCAGCCGAGCACCGAGTAGGCGTGGTTGGCGACGAGGTTGCAGCCGCGGTACGTGCCGTGGTCGGTGGCGTGGGTGAAGGCGACCATGGGGCAGATGGTGCGCTGGTTGACGCTGCAGGTGCGCACGACTCCGATGAGGTCGCCGGCGTCGTGCTTGTCGGTGAAGTAGTAGTGCGGCTCGCGCCCGTTGATCTGCGCCATGCACTTGACGGGGTCACCGTGGTGCAGCTGGGTGATGTCGACATGCCCCATGCCGCCGCTGCTGCCACCAATGCTCTTCTTGTCGCTGTTGCCGCCGGTCACCCACTTGGCGAAGGCCTTCTCGTACAGCGATGGCCAGAGCGCCAGCCCGTCGCTCGAGCGGCAGTACACGAAGTCCTCGCTGGAGTTATTCACGGGGACTCGATAGTCGACCTCGACGGTCTGCGTCTTGTTGTTGTTGCGCCCGCCCTGGTCGTAGAACTTGACCTTGAAGCGGCGCCTCTCCTGGTCTTCCTCATCGTCGGTGCCGGGGTTCATTCGCATATGAGTGTTCATCCAGCGGTTGATGATGGCCGGGTCGGCCCAGTAGACGGAGAACAGTGCGGCGACGAACCAGCTGTTCGCGGTGGCGCCCTGGATCGGGTCGTCGAACTTGCGCATGCCTTGGAACTCGCGAGAGCCGCCGTAGCCACCATAGTCGAAGAGAGTGTTGTAGTCCGAGATCATGCCTCGGCGCATGTTGTTGTTGCGCATCATGATGATATCGCGAGCATCGCGCCAGGAGCTGTTCGGGGGGGTGAACTCCCGCCCCTTGTTGTCCCGTCGGAAGGGCAGAGCGAAGTCGTTGATGGTCTGCGTCACCTCGCGATTGGACACCGTTCGAGCGATCTTATCGGCGTGCAAGACAAGGTGGAGCTTGTTGTTCAGGATACCTGCACGCTTGACACGAACATCGCCCACCTCCTTCAGGCCGATGTCTTCGAGATCACCGAGCTTTTCAAGGCGGCTGAGGTCCGGAGTAACCAGGCTACAAGAGTCAAGGCATTAGAATGATCGTCAAGAAGATCGATATGCAGGGTACCTACTCTCTCTCTTTCAAGATCTTCGTCTCCCCCTCTTCCAGCTCATCTGCCATACGCTCGTCCTTGTTCAGCTCAAGACCAGCAAAGAGGACTGAGCGATGCTTCATATCAAACAGCTCCTCATAGTCGGTCTGGAGAGTATCCTGAACGATTCGGATCGCGGTGATGGATTGACGATCAATTCTATGTCCGATCATGTTCTCAGCGAGGGCGAATGGGTTGATGCAGCCGACGAAGACATCCTGGGGTCGGGGATCCGGCTTAGGCTCGTCCTGCTTTCCCACGCGACATGGTCGAATGTCACTCAGATCATCATACCCCTCGGGGGCCTTTCGAGAAGAAGAAGTTCGTTCCACCGTGCGTTCGAGTTTTCTGCCCGTGAGTGCCTCAAAGAGCACATACGGATCGATGGTACCAGCGTTGGCAGGGGCTTCGGAGCGAGAGCTGTGTGAAACCATCTTGACGATATGAGATTGGAGTGCTTAAATGAGGCGTAGTGATAATCTAGAAAGGCGCAAGGAGGATGAACTAGCAGCGAAGCCTTGAAGACTGGGTCGAGAAGTCGGTTGAGTCAAGGACTGGTGGCGCACTTTATACAGGCTTGCTGTCTGATTATTTCTCTTACACGAGGATTGATCTCTGAGAAAGAATATAATAGTCCAGTCAACCCGGCCGCTCGTTTCATCCTTTCGGCCTCACGGGTTCTAGCCGCAAATGCTGTTACTGAGGCGTAGACTCAGAATACGAGGTGCTTGGCAGCAAGAAATTGACAAGATATTTTCACAACTCGTGCTGCACATTCGCGTGAACAGGCAATGGGCATGGAACTTCGTTTCCGTGAGTTTCCCTAGCCGCCCGATTGAAGTTTCCATTGCCCCCAGCTCCAAGAGAGGATAGCAAGGCTAACTTGGACAACTGCAATTATATTACGTCAATTTCCCGATGCCTGCTTGAAACAGACAACGATGTAAGGTGTTGGAGGTCCCTCGCTGCATGAAAGCACCTTGAGGGATTGGACTTATCAACATCTTGAAATATTACAACGACCATTAGGTGGTTAATAAGATTAGTTTGCCATCAACATGTTGCCATCACCGGCCCCTTTGAGCTAGATCCCCGCCTTATTGAGAGACGGCGGGGTATGCAACTTAAAGTTCATTCAAGAGCCCAGGCCGAAGGGGTGTTGTCTGTTTCCCAATGAGACGCCTAAGTTTGTCCTCTTGGACTATTCACTGCTGGCCTATGCGAAATCGATGCTATTTTCTTTCCAGTCGACTGTTACTAAGCAAGCTCATCTTCATCGTAAATGGACTCATTCATATTTCGTCGTGTTTGCAAAAGCTACACGTCAGCTAAACTTGATCAAGACAGAGATTTTTTCCTTACAGATCACACGTATTGAGAAATGTGCTACAGTAAAAGGTCTGGCGGTGCTCAAGACTGAGATGAGAGGCAGTAGTTCGCGTCAACTATAGGGTTTTTAATTTGTTCATCATGCATCAAGTACACTAGGTCACCGCTGCAACATGTGTGACAATGAGAAAACTCTCAAGTTTTTTATGAGAGTATCGCAACAGTAACGGAGATCTTAAATGCAGCGCATAATGAGAAAATTAGTAATAAAATTTATTCCCCCCTCGTGTGCTAGCTATTGAGTGTCAATAAAACGAATGGGCTTCTACTTATAACAGGCTACATACAAAAAGCAAGAGACAGAAAGTATGCTAGCAGCAGGTGTTCAAAAATAAATTTTGAGAGCTGCAGGATTCGAACCTGCGCGGTTTCCCATCGCGGGATTTATGGTATTGCTTGATACAATGCCTAAACACGACGCCTTAACCACTCGGCCAAACTCCCATAGAAAATTGTTGCTGGTAATGGTATCAACCAGAGGGTTTGAACCTCCAACGATGGACTCGCGGGGAATCGAACCCCGGACCACTCCCATGCTAAGGGAGTATTATACCACTAAACCACAAGCCCAAGGAAGACTGCTGATCTTGTGTGAGCGGCCGGCTCTTAAATACCTATTTAGGCTAGCGGGGAAATCGATAGGTTAGAGTGAGGCAATTGGAAGCGAGGTGAGTACTTTGGGTTTGCAATAGACATGGGTTGAGCCGTCGGCGTAGTTTCTTGAGGGTGTGGGGAAGAGGCATCTAGGTTAGGAAGAACAAGCTGGAAGAATTAGGTGTCCCTAATACGATCCTAGGAACGTGGAATGTTAGTGGCGGCATAAATACCACGACGGGCTTCATTTGAACCGGGCTGCTACGACGGCATCGCTAAATATGTCACAGGCGACAGGGGGCATGTCTCGTGCGTAAATCTAGCCTGCAAGCATGATCATTGCGATGGCTGCACTTGGTGCAGATGGAAGTCGACATATTACCTGCTAAAGCGTGATGGGCAACCCCTTGAGTAGAAACGTGAGCAGAAGTAGTTCTGGCGGCCATGATTCTTGCGTATAGATGCTGTCATAATAGCTCTCTAGAAAGAAGGTATCGGACCTTGAAAGGCCGTGCAAGTCTGCTAATTCCTTGGACCTGTTGCCCGAGAAATTTAAGCCCCCCTCCCGGCCTAACACGGGATGCCGAAGACCGAGTCCGGAGCACGGGACGCGGACATCGGCAGTATAGCAATGCGACTACTTTGTCTTAGGCTTCATCTCTCCACAGCTTGGTTCGGGTACTCTACTATTTGCTTCCTATCAATGTGCACCGGCTCGCCATGCGACACCTTCGCTGACGTAGTTTCAAAGTCATGATCGGGCTCCGCCTGGTGATGCCTCTCAAAATGCGGCTCCTCACGGCATCATCACCGTCTGTCTTTTGGCCTAGTACATCGACCGGCTGTTCCGCGTCGCTGCGGCCTCCGGGGGTTCCGTGCTGAAGACCCCATCTGCTTTGGTATGTATAGTTCGGGGCTCCTCGGCGATCTTGAGGTCTCGGCGCACGAGCGTTATAACTAGTCCGTCCATCGCTACGCGATGTATGATATCACTAGCATGCTAGCTAGCGTTCTAGACTACGGACGGGACTGTCCACGGCCAGGAACCAGTCTATAGCTGATCAAACTGTAAACTTCGGACGACGCAATCGATATTTTAGGCAAAGGAGCCAGGCATAGAAGGATATCTGCTCTGCCACGCCGATGACATCTGTGTCACTCGGAAGCCTAGTACTCCCAAGGAATCACAGGGTAGATGAGTAAAGTTCAACGTTTCGAATAGCCTCTTACCTAGCCAGGACGGCCTTCTTGACCCCAGAGACCGAAGTACGTTGTTGACGGGAGCTTCCAGGACCTTATACTTGATCTATTGCAAAGCAGCGCTTATCTGCTCGCGTCGAGAGCGCAACGTCTTTTCTCCTATCATAGAGTGCTGCTATGATATCCTCTCCGTCGGAATCATCGACAGCAGCTCGAAATGAGCATCCCCCGCCCAAGGTGGGATTAAAGCCGCCATTAGGAATCCCGAATGTTGCAAGATCCTGTTAATAATCGTTAATATAATCTAGCACCACGGTACGCCTGATCTTCGGGGGTGAGCGCAAGCGCAACCAATTCGTGCGTATCTAAGGGGCTGAACTGTTTCGTGTGTGAGTTCTCTGACGAGAAAGGTCTTACCGACGTGGATTTCTCGAACTAGGTGATTTATTCTTTCGGTAACGAATTCCGTGTGCGATAGGGGGCCTCGGGCCTGGTGCCGACAACCTCAATAACTACCTTCTCGTGCTTCTCACACACGGAGTATGCCCAAGCGAGTCCTCTGGCATTTCAGTTTATCCATCGGAACCATCGCCACAACGGCCCAGTGCCTCGGCGTGCAGAGCATCGGGGTTGAACCGGGGGGCGCATGAGCTCGAAGAAGATCCAAGTTGGAGTTCTACTGACCGCAGTGCATGGTGCCGATTCAGTCTATCAATCATGCCACCGCCGTGGATGCTAGAAACCCGGAAGCGAGGTATCCCCATCCTCAGTACGGCGGCTCTAAGATGGGACGCTACCTGGCGTCCGCCATCCCTGAGTTTCCAGGAGTGCATCACTCCCCCAGGTACCGAGAGGATCTACAATGCCCCTATATGTGATTCAATCCAGTCTTTGTGGGTTCAAAAGGTCTAACGCACCGTACTACATCACAATAGTCCCGTAATGTGAGCTTTAAGGGGTCACATCGTCAACTACCCAGAGGATAAATCCTCTGCTGTGCAGGGCAAACGGATGAGCTCATATCTTCAGGCGTCCACGGCTATCCTAAAGTCGGCTTCTTCTTGTAAAAATCAAACGGATTGCGATGCTCGATCACGGTGCCGATGTCGCCGGCCGCCGGAATCGAGCTCATACCATGCGGAAAAGCGCCCGGAGATTTCAGGGCAGACGCGTGGGAGGTGCCCCGTAGTGCTTGTTTCTTGTGGTAGGTATGCTGCATGCAACACTGCTAGTAGGTCCAGTTTACCCCAAGAGTAATGCATACTACCCAACAACGGTGGTGATTTTTAACTATATGGCAACACTCCCATCCTTCATGGCATGAATGCTGCACTCCTGCTCCCTTGTGACTACAATCCTACATTTGGAGGAAGCAGCAGCCCTGGTGATTGGGCTGGATCATGCGCATCGCTCTGCGGGTACTCACACACACATTTTATTAATAGACGTCGGCTTTTACGTGAAAGCCTGCATTGCCAAGCTCGCGTATAAGCACATAGGACTATTCTTTCAGCCAACATTCCAAGTAGACTGAATGGCCACGTGGCTAACCATGAAGTAATCGTTATTCCCCGTCAAGAGCCCAGCCCGGAGTAATATTTGAGTTGCACCCGGGATTTGGAGGCATTTCGGTCGAGTGTTCGATTGGGCTGGATCGGATCACCCGGCGGGATGAGACGGAAGTAAAGTCGATCAAGCATTAGAAGCATACCCGCGGCGTAGCTGCAAGGTGACCTTCCCTTCCTCCTCTGGGGGCTATGCTGCATACAGGGTCGCATTACTCGCGCCGCGCCTGTGTGGCGTCTGCGGCGTAGGCCAAGACAAGATCATTTGAGATTCGAATCTCGTACTCGGTGGCAACAATCTACGGTACGCCAAATGTGCTTCATCTTCAACATCTTCAAACCGCGGTCCCGAGTTCTCGGGGCGGAAGAAGAAGTTTGTACGCTTGCTTCGTTTGGCTAGGTATGATAGTAGGGGAACTAGACGAGAAGAAGGATAGCCCTCGGCGTCTACTAGGGAAGAAGGATTGATCTCGGCGTCTACTAGGGGACCTAAATGAAGCTATACACTACACTACACGTGTGGCTCCCGGCGGTGAGGGGCGAACTATATACGATACGATCTATAAAGGTGTCGGTAGCGTCTGGATGTGCGGAATTACAGCGCACATGATGCGGTATCGTGTGTTTCATCGACGCCTCCGTTGGCCACTGCGATGGTACGCCAGAATCTACAAGTGTGAAGCCGACGCCCCCTTAGGATTCCTTCCAAGCACTGAACTTATGTAGGCAGGTTAATATAGTGTCTGGGTAGCAGAGCCTCGGCAGTGCCTAAGAACGCCACCTGCGAATCATCGTCGCTCACTGCCGAAACAGCATCCACACCAAGTTCAACAACGGTTGTGGCTAACTACCCCTAGCAACGCTAGTCTCTTGCATTGTACCTGGCTTGCAGTCTTGGGTCCTTGGCGTCTCCCACCACAGTAAGCATCTTGCATCGAGATGGTGTTGGTAAACACGGACTGACAACTTGGAGTCGTAATGCTGAGAAGTAAATACATAGAAGTAAGGTAAGTAGGGTAAGGACCTACATACTTAAGGTAGACAATTAATTACACCAACCTGCCCTACATACAAATTGTACGAAACTAAGGAAATACCGGAATAGGTACTAGGTAGGTAGTCTAATATGAAGAGCTTGGTCCCAAGGCCTCGGCACAGGCTTCATAGCTGCGAGCTAGCGTAGGTGCCTGGGTAGTATAAGGTAATAGTGGTACACTACTTACGGACTTACCTACTTGGGTAGTGCACACTCAGGAGGTATGGTGATACTCTTCCTAATATAGGCTGGGGTCACTGCCGGTCGAAGCCCTATCCTCCCAAAGGACTGGGTCTGGACTGGGCGAGGAACCCAAATACAGCTAGATGTACTTTTGTACGCTCTAAGGTACTACACTAAACCTAGCATAATTCTTACAGAACCAATAGCCACCGAATTGAGAGTAGGTAATCATGTACGTCCTAAGTACGGTACCTAGTGCAATCACTGCTTGTGTTCCATCGTGGGATTCTTAGCCAGAGATTCTCGAACGTTTTTTGCTCTGCCGAGAACCGACGATGCCTAATGCGGCACTGGGAACTGTCAGTTGTTCCACAATCAGATTCCTAACACGTGTAAAGCTAGGTAGTACCTATAGAAAGACATTAGCCAATCTCTGGGATGAGTTAGGAACTTACGAAGTATAGACGTACAAATTTGCCCTCGAGTAGTATCTCGCCCCCAAATTTGTTGAGAACATAATGCTAAATTTATATAACTATCGCGACATGGATAATTGGTGTTCTTAAACCAAGAGGGCAGGGGGGCGAGGGGAGAGAGAGAAAGAAACAAAGATCGGAGCGTCCCAGCCATTCGGGACCTCCATTGATAGACTTCGTGGGGAAGGAGTTTCAGGGGCAAGTTGCAGGCAGCGTAAAATGCTACCTACCACCTGAAATAGGTTGCTTATGCAGTGCTTAGGTGCCCCATTATAGCAGTGGATTTCTACGCATGGTGTACTTGGCAACGGTTGTGGCTACGTAAGTACATGCCTGTGTGTGTCTAGGTTTCGGAGTATAAAGAGTGCTTGATCTTAGTAAGGGGTCTCC